GAAGGGGGGGGGGGGGAGCTGCCATCGGAGAAGGACTGGGGGGGGGCGGATTCAAGCGCGCGTTTACACAAGAAAAAAAAACGTGGTTGTTCCGCGCAACCGTCAGTACCGGCGACAAAGACAACGGCACGCAGGGGGGAGGCTGCTAATAGACCGAGACAATGTGGAAACCAGGATATAAGAAACTTCATAGAGGTGATGACGCACATGCGACCAGCAAAGATCGTCGGACTACATGAACAATGTCCGACCGCCCGAAGACATTTCGCCGGGAAAGATTCAAAGAATACCGTGACCACTCATGCGAACCTCGGAGATGGGGAGATGCCCACGAAGGCGCCCCCTCTCTCACTTCCACCGTTCTTGAACTGGCTGAGGCGAGAGACTATCGGCTACGCTCAGCACTTCCTCGCCACATATCAACAAGAGACAAATACCTCCGCCGGTGAACGGTTAATCACCCCTTCAGGGACCTTTGCTCGGTAAGCAGAGTAAAAAGGGCATTCTCACTGGCGTCGACGAAGAGATCAGAACTCTCGCGGTCCGCCCAACGGCTTGGCCCGCGAGAGTTCGGATTTCTTCGTCGACGCCAATGAGAATACCCTTTTTACTCTGTTACCGAGTAAGGGTCCCTGACGTGGTGATTAACGTCAAACGGCAGGAAAGGTTTGCCCCAACACAAGGACGTACATGCGCCGTCAGGAGAACAGCGATGACGACAACCGGGTCATCAACACGACGACGATCACCAACAACTGCTACAAACAACAGCGGCAGTAGCAGCAGCAGCAGCAGCAGCAGCAGCAGCAGCAGCAGCAAGCAACGACAACGACAACAACGACAACGATGATGCCAACAACAAACCGTACCTCGGTAGCCGTGGCGTTTCCATGCACCAGCATCTCCATGTAAAGCACGCTCAGCAGCCTCGGGACGAACGCGAGCATCGCGGGCACCGTGATGCCGGGACCTGGCGGCGAAATTTCACCCCGCGCATAATGTAGCGGATGGAAATCAAAACTCAGCAAATTGCCGTCGTCACCAGGCCATTTATCACCGTCGCAATCATCGAACCAAATGCATCACTACCACTACCGTTACCATCTAAAGAGCATCATCACCGACACGACCATGAGGCTATCACCATGTCATGAGCATACCTGCAACTACAGCAGCAGTGCCTCTTCAAACCGGCACTATTGAGGGACCCCCCATGTGCTCTAACCAGTAGACAAGAGCACGAGACGCATCATCATCATCATCATCATCGTTAGATAACAATGCGACACTCCCATCGTGACCGCCGGTGTAATGACACAGCACAACAACACAAACCGCCACGAAAATCAGCAACAACAGCAGCAGCAGTCAACGCCGCTAGCAACAACAACATTAGAGAAGTAAATTTATCATCTATCCCGGACTCTCATATCTGTGGAAGAGATGAAAATTGTTGAAAGAAACTGCTACTATAATAAGAAATCTGTCCCGACCTCTCATATCTGTGGAAGAGGTGAATTTGTTGTGTCTTCGTAGAGAAAAAAAAAAAAATGCCACAGCCACCGCCATTGCCACCACCGACAGCAACACACCTTCCATGGCCTTAAGCCTGTCCTCGTTGTTCCACCGGGGCACCTCCATGCAACTCTGCGTGGCGGACACCGCGTGCTGGTAGGGCGTGTTGAACTGCTCGTTTTTGTACCTTTTCAGCAACTTGAGAGAACACAACAAGAGGGGGGGGGGGTAGAGAAGGCGCAAAAACGAAAAACTCTAATGAAACAATTGGACAACAAATGAGCAGTTCCAATACTAAGCTCTAGGAGGGTGAGCGGAAAGGAAAGGCTAGCAGAATCAAGTCTTGGTGATATTTATCGCATCCTCCACTTTTCGAGCAGCTGAAAAACAACCAAAGAAGAGAAACATCTGCTGCAACATCAGCACACCACAGCTATTGCTAGCATCTCCCTCGTGCCGACGGCAGCACCGGCACACGCAGGCATGCTAGAGCTACATAACTCTAACACCTACGACTCGTCTATTGCGAGAAAAAACTGCAAGCGTTAGCAGCTTAAATAGGAAAATTGCAGAGCTGATTGCAGTTTTTGGTAAACAAAGCAGCAAAGCTCCGGTCGAGGTCTAACCGAAAGCTTTTCGTGTAAGTTCATCCGAGCACACCTTCTGGCGCATGCGCTGGAACAGGCTCCCGCCACCGCCTCCGCCGTTGCTGTTGCCGTTGGCATCGCCGTTGCTGATGGCATCCCCCGTGGTCTGATCGAATCCATTCGTGTTGTTCATGTGGCGATTATGAAGTCCCGGCCGCGCGAAAGCGAAATGGTGTAATGAAAAACAAAGTGGCAAGGCACGGACACGGGAAAACAAACAAGTCGAGAACAACGACAGCAGGAAGGGGTGGCAGGTGTCACGTATGATGGCTTTTCAATGAGTGGCGTACAGTGCATTCCACAGCAGTTGCATCGAGTCAAACCCTCAACTTAGCTTGGTTTATATCGATCGGTGGCGTACGCAGCTAATTAACTCGAGCCACATCCTCAGAACGTTTGTTGGCGTTACTGTACCACAGAGAAGCGACCCCTCGCTGGCATTGCTTTGATGCACACGGCAGGACGGTGGCTTCTTACCACGGACTTCGCGCGCAGAACTTACACACCAAGATCGAGCACATTCTTTTTATTCCGTCCACCAAACGATCGCACCCAATACATCGTGGGAAAGCCTGCCATCCGTCTACGTCACCTTGTCGTCGTTGCTGTCCTCCTTGTCCTGTGCCAGGGTATCGCCGAAGGAACCCAGACGGTGAACCACTCTCTCGAGGAGGACCTTCATCTTGTGGCTGTATCCCCCCAGGGACAGGCAGAGGGCCTCCTGCCGTCACCGGATGCCACACCGCAAAGTCGACAGACAAGTCGACAGACCACAGACAGACAGACAGACAGACAGACAGACAGACAGACAGACAGACAGACGACAGGCAGGCAGGCAGAAAAAACGAGCGGGGGTTCAGTAAGCAACGCAAAAAAAGAAGCGCTGTGAGAGGAGCGGCTGTACGTGGAGACGATGATGTCGGCTACTTGGCGAACTTGCACGTATTCCTGTGCATATATCGGTTTTATTTTCCCTTCTCCTTCCTTGTTGCAGCACACACCGCGGCGAGAAAACGATTGAGCCAGAAACACAAAATACTTCGCGGCCACGACGATGTCGGCGTACTGGGCGAACTTGCACGTACTATATCGATTTCGGTTATCTTCCTTCACACACCTTGGTGAGGTAAAGGTTGAGCCCAAGCCCCGCCTCGCTGGCCATGTACAACTCCTCGTTCAAGTCTTCCTTCAGGAGATCTACCAGGAGGTTGGCCAAGACCTGACGATTTCCGATGTTGTCATCGTCGCCGTCACAATCATGTTTTCGCCAAATCGTTTTTTTGAAACAATGCCAAAATCGCGCGATGATGACGACAACGGTCGGTACAAGACAATGGGCAAGCGTCAAGGATGGTCGGGGCGGGTGTCAGTTTCAAAGAGAGAGAGAGAGAGAGAGAGAGAGAGAGAGAGAGAGAGGCGTTTTCCGACTTTGGTCGACCATACAAGAGGAATTCACGTCATCATCATCATCATCATCATCATCATCATCCACCCAAGTCTCTTCCCGGTTCGGGATGGAAAATAGGACTGAAACAAGAAACAGTGTTTGTCCATCCGTGAGAAATGAAACAGCATGACAAACAAAACATACCCCCCCCCCGAACTATCGTCTTTTACCACGACGGTGCCACCCACTGCGCACCCCTCTCCCGCTACTGCAATCGCATGCACAGCAACGCCACGAGCAGTTTCGCCGCCGCCTCACCAAGCTCTCGGGGGAATCGTAGAGAACCGGGTTCACGAGGCGGATCCTGACGTTGAGCTTGGGCTTGCGGAACTGGGCATCGGTCTTGTGCCACACACGGCACGAATCGTCGTCCCGGATAAGGGAGGGACCGACCGGTGCCGATGATGCTGCGGCGCCCCCCTCCTGTTGCTGCTGCTGAGGCGGCGGCGAACGAAGAGTGAAGTCCTGCCGAAAAGGGAGAGGGGGGGGGGGGGTTATGCAAGCGCATGCCGTACTTGTCGTTAGACCATTGGCCTCGCGTCCGGGACGGAGCGAAATGCCGCGCTTTCGCCGGCCAAGGTTACACGTTTACAAGGATGGGCCGCAAATTGGCCATCATCGTTGCGTTTGAAAGGAAGAGGGGGGGGGGGGGGCATCAAGAGGAAAAGGGGGAACAATCTCAGTTGTGTTTGACCGCAGAACGTACGTTTTCAAAAAACATGGATGGTATTGGAAAACAAGAACACGTGAATGAAAATTCCATAGAACTAGCCAACACGACTTTTGGCCCCAATGTTAAGGCCGAGAAGGAGAGCATCATACACGCGGTGTTTTACCATGGTAATTACCGTGGTCTTGGTAGACCACGCTTCGCGCGAGGGGGGTGTGTGTACTCATTCTGTTGCTTGCTTTTGGTCATTTGGCAGCTGACAACGCATCCCTTTCGAGAACGAACATCACACAAACATCCCCGAAAACCACATACCGTGGAATAACAACAACAAAAAAGTCTGAAAGCCAAAGGCCGCGGAGAGAGTAACCACCCACACCGCAAACTCAACAGCACGTACTTGTAGGTCTTGAAAAAAAGAACACATACGAATGGCGCAAATCATCAGGGATCCAGGAAAAAATACAAAATTACTCATCCGAAGGAGGAAAGAGTGCCTGCGGCGCGGTCGATCCTAAACTATTTTCGCCATTTCATTTTCATCGCACCCCTAGTTCATTTTCATCGGACGGGGTGCGATGACTCCGGACTGTACGATAACTCCGGAGCGTGCGATGACTCGCGCTCTTACGGTTCTCCTCATCCGACGAGTCAAGAGTGCCCGCGGGGGTGCGGCACGGACAGACAGCACGCACCGTCGCGATGACGGGGTTGGGCTCCGGCAGGCGTAGCTCTTCCCGGCGGCCGCACGTCTCCCAGGACTCGATGAGGTCGTCGCTGATAGCCTCGCACGAGTACTCCGATCCGTAGTACGGCTCCACCTGCCAAAAGCACACACACAGCCACACAACACACACACACATATCAGAAAGTGCTCGTGTTTTTTATCCCGCTACTGCAAGACTGGCGTATTCTCTTTCATTGGTTAGCGCGGTCGATGAAAATCAAGAAAACACACACACGGGGAAGCGAAGAGGCCGGACATAAAGCGAAACACACCGCACACAACACTCGCGGGGTCCACCTACCCACCCACTCGCGGTGCCCCAAACCGTCGCGCAGCAGCATGTGCACGGCGGACCTCACGGTAGATGTGAACGTGGATGTGGATGTAATGTAATGATGACTACGGGCAAGGCACCACTGCACGTGAGAGCCCCTTTTGGGGCCGTACATACCTATACATGTGATGCTTTGCACTACATACACCCTGCTCCTCCCACCGCGGGTGACTCGCTTGACCGCCATGGATCAATCGTGGCCCACTCC